CCAGGCCCCTCTGGATGGCATCTCTATATAAATATATTTGAGGTATATAAATACCTCATTGACAGGAGATTCTGTGTCATGAAGTGATGAGAAAACTAGAAATGCAACTCCATCACCAATGCTGGACTTAATTTTTCACCTGCAATATACTTTATCAACCCACCAGCACCCCTCCAAGGCTTCTGTTGACTCTCAAATCACAAGTGGCTGGTGATCCCTAGGGAGTTTCTGTTCTAAAACCTTATATAAGCTAGCTGTTGGCAGATTCTGTGTGCACAATTCAAGGCTTTTTTTGAAGCTCAAAAACATTTTAGCTGACTGCATAAGGACAGCTCACACCCAGAACCAAATGAGCTGCCTGAGAAACAACCCTGGCTGTGTTCAAGTACACGACTCTACAGCCACACTGCCACGGCAGCATGATGCCATCCTGGAGGACAATGTGATAACCCACGGTAATGTTAATCTTAAAGAAAAAGATTATAAAAGAATGACAGGTACCACACTGTCTTACCATGAACCTTTAGGTCCCATGTAGACAAAGCGGTAATCATCCACCGCTATGGCGTCCCAGTATTCATTCAGCCAGTCAGATGAGAAATACACAGGGGTCGTATAAACATCTTGTGATGGGAAAGCTCTTGAAAAGATAAGGTGTTGGAAATCAGTCTCAGAAAAATGCAGCACTGCTCCTCCTACTTCAGTTCCCAAAACCCAGATACAGAGACCAATCGGGTCTCTAGCAGGCCGTTAATGCTTTGCCACCATCTCCTTTACATCATTGACAACTCCGAGTTGCACACAAAATGCACACAGTAGCACTTTCCTGTCTCCCAGGGAAGCTGTGAAAGTTAACTACTATTTGGGAGATTCCAAATTTTGGCAAAGACAGTTCCTAATAAACACTTTCTCTTTAGATGAGATGCCTGTATCCAACTCGATGACGGGTTGAGGGTGTGAGGGTTAGGAGGGAAGCTGGGCTGTTGGGAATTTGACAATTGTGCAGCCTCATCCCACAGGGATGCTGCCCCTTTCCCATCCTAAGCTGCACGTGCAGACTTTCTGTAGGAAGACACAGCACCAGTGTCTGGGAAAGCAGGGAGGCAGAGACTGACAGATTCCTTCAGCTGTCAGTCAGTAGCACACTAAAACATGAGAACACAAGCTGATCACAGAAAAGGTGGATTAGGAGCAGGATATGTTTAAGGAAGAAGAGATTTGAGTGAAAAGACATAAAAGTCCCACACAGACATAGGGAATGGATAATGCATCCACCTTGTAAGCAGCAGGCTGGAGGAGAAGGAAAGCCAGAACAGGGTGAAAAGAACTTTAACAACTGGGAAGGTTAATAAAAAAGAGAAAGCATAATAAAGGATTGTAACTCACACATGCTCCCCAAATTAAACATAATTAGAAATGTCCCCCTTCTTTTTAAGCAGTAAGGTTTGCACTGTAGCAGTCAAACAAAAGCCAAATGTTACAGCCATACGGTTTCCACAGGGATAACATACAGTCATTTAAAACAGAGATGGAAAGGAAAGCGCTCAGGAATGTCAGCCTCTGCAGGAAACAATGGCTTGTTTGGGATCTTGCTGTGTGACATCTGCCAAGAGCTGTGCAGTACGAGAATGAGCAGGTACCAACAAGCAGCACTGCCAGCGTTTACACACTCAGGCATCAGAAGTTGACTGTCAGGGCTCGGCACAATATGCGGGGGTTGCCACAGTGCGTTCTTACCTGCTCAGGTGCCAGTCCTTTAGATAAAGGCACCCTCGGGATGAACGGTAGTCGTTTTTAATGTACTCTTTCCAGTATTTTATATACTCCTTGAAGGGGAGCTGCTCCTTCGGGTTAGAATTGTACTCCTTGACATCACAGTTGGCAACAGGTACTACAGCCTCTCCTGAAATACAAACCCTTTGAGCCCACGTGGGGACAGAATAACAGTTGCTGAAGGTGAACTCCCTTACACTCATCCACTGCACAGCCTCTGACACCCGGGCCTATAACACTAAGTACCATCCAAACACATAAAGCAACAATCCCTACCCCAGCTCTCACTCCCAGCTCCATCACAGTTGGCAACAGGTACTACAGCCTCTCCTGAAATACAAACCCTTTGAGCCCACGTGGGGACAGAATAACAGTTGCTGAAGGTGAACTCCCTTACCCTCATCCACTGCACAGCCTCTGACACCCGGGCCTATAACACTAAGTACCATCCAAACACATAAAGCAACAATCCCTACTCCAGCTCTCACTCCCAGCTCCATCATCCAACTGTGGAGCCCTCAATATCAGAAGGATATTGACTACTTGGAGCGAGTCCAGAGGAGGCCACGAAGATGATCAGAGGGCTGGAGCACCTCTGCTATGATGAAAGGCTGCAAGAATTGGGCTTGTTCAGCCTGGAGAAGAGGAGACTCCGAGGAGACCTCATTGCAGCTTTCCAGTACCTGAAGGGGCTACAAGGGTGCTGGGAGAGGACTTTTTACAAGGGCCTGTAGTGACAGGACAAGGGGTAACGGGTACAAATTGAAAACAGGGAGGTTTAGATTGGATATCAGGAAGAAATTCTTCACAGTGAGGGGGGGGAGGCACTGGAACAGGTTGCCCAGAGATGTTGTGGATGCCCCCTCCCTGGATGTCTTCAAGGCCAGGCCAGATGTGGCTTGGAACAACCTGGTCTAGCGGAAGGGGTCCCTGCCCATGGAAGGGGGGTTGGAACTAGATGGTCTTTAAGGTCCCTTCCAACCCAAACCATTCTATGATTCTATGATTCTATCATTCTCGGCAAACATGATTCAGATCAGAAGTTACTTACTTAAGGTGACCTGAATTCTCTTCTTAAACTACATGAGGAGTGGGGTATTGATTCCCATTAAATACACTGATATTTCAGAACCTGAAGAGTTATTTCACTGTAACTACAGAATGTTTTCCCTTTGACTGGGGAAAGCGTCAGGCTACTCCTGAAGTGAAAGTTAGGCAGGTATATAAATTAGCATAGTTAAACTATCCAACAACGTTTTCTTTATTTCATTATGGGAATAAATTTGAGATTGGAATCTGTGAAACACAAAGTGAGTAAATATATAAAATGCACATATTAACTTAGAAAAAAGCCTGCAGAATTGCTCAGTTTTGTATAGTGGTTCTATGCCTAAGATTAAAAAAAAACTGTGTAATTTATTAATTAGGTATTAAAAATGCCATGACTTACCAAACTTCTGCAGCAGATGATCAAAGTTAGGCTTTCCATCCCAAGTAACCCAATTTCTCCTGCTGCCCCAGTCTTCAGTGAACTTAGCTGAGAAAACACAGGGGTGGTTGGGAATCAAATAATCCCGGAAGAAGTCCGAGTAAGTGAATGATTCTACTTTTTCAATAAAGTCAACGTGTCCTCTGGGGAGGCAGAATGCACCCTGAGATGAACTGTTGTAGTCACGGAAAAAGGCAGTGGAACAGGCGAATGTTGCCCTGTCCATGCAGGCTGGATACTCTTCCTGGCTTAGCCAAGACAGCCTTGACCAGATGCCGTTATGCTATGGCAAAAAAAACCCTGCTTAAAAATACAACTTGAGTCTCTAAATCCATGCAAACTCACAGGAAAATATAAATGGACAGAGGTAAAAGAAGCTGTGCAGGAGCATCCCACCACGTGGGGCTAATTAGGATCTTCCACAGTAGTTTGATGCTGGCGGGACATCTGACGACAGCCACCCTATGGATGGTGAAGACGTTGCTTTTCCCTTGTCGCCTTCTTGCCAGGGTGACCATGCTCTCAGCAAAGGCTGGTTCTTTCCTAAAACAGCAGAAATACTAATTTCAGTGGGATATCCCTGCGAAGTAAATTAATGGCAGGGGTAGAGGGAAGGAAACACCCTAAATATCTGGGGGCCCTGGGAAACCGCTGCAGTCCAACACGTTCACTGACCCCTTTGTCAGAAGACATAAGCTCTGGCAGCCCCCACCTTCCCCACACTACAGGCCAGGCAGCAATGATGGGGGTGGGGGGGAGGTCAATTAAAGGGAGGTGTCTGGGGAGGCGGGAGGGATGAGTCCCGAGGGAAAATGAGGCCATAGTCCATGCAGGGATGGGCTTCAGGAGCGGGGGGACACGGGGGCTGAAGGGGGAACCAGGCGGCTA